CTTGTTCACCTGATCTGAACCCCATTGAGAACCTGTGGTCCATCATCAAATGTGAGATTTACAAGGAGGGAAAACAGTACACCTCTCTGAACAGTGTCTGGGAGGCTGTGGTTGCTGCTGCACGCAATGTTGATGGTGAACAGATCAAAACACTGACAGAATCCATGGATGGCAGGCTTTTGAGTGTCCTTGCAAAGAAAGGTGGCTATATTGGTCACTGATTTGTTTTTGTTTTGTTTTTGAATGTCAGAAATGTATATTTGTGAATGTTGAGATGTTATATTGGTTTCACTGGTAATAATAAATAATTGAAATGGGTATATATTTGTTTTTTGTTAAGTTGCCTAATAATTATGCACAGTAATAGTCACCTGCACACACAGATATCCCCCTAACATAGCTATAACTAAAAACAAACTAAAAACTACTTCCAAAAATATTCAGCTTTGATATTAATGAGTTTTTTGGGTTCATTGAGAACATGGTTGTTGTTCAATAATAAAATTAATCCTCAAAAATACAACTTGCCTAATAATTCTGCACTCCCTGTATTCTGCAATATAAGGTCATTCTTTGGGTAATGATCTTGGGAGGCCGTTCAATTTTATTTTAAAGATAAGTATATTTTATACTTAGTATTCACTATACAAATTGACACTGTGGTGATATATTGTTTCTGTATATTTGTTTTGTTACACACACGAGCTCTGATGCATGGATTTCCATCAAATCTGCACTCATAGACTTTACTGAAATTTGTGTATACAGAGTTGCTGTTTTTAGATGTTGTGCATAATATTAGCCACAAACAATGCTACAGTCTTCATCTGACTTGAAGTTTGTTTATTTATTTATTGCACTGCAGGGACCTATGGAAGTACCGGACACTTCTTCTGAGAGCAAAAGTGGGAGGTTAAAGCAAGTTAACACATATATTAAAGTCAAAGGCCTTCTGCTGCTTTAAACTGAGAACAAGGGAGCTATTCATGGCCTTACAGCTTATGCTCTGTGTGCTGGTCATGCAGCTAATGTATCATATGCAGAATATTTGCACTCTCAAAGGGAAAAGCATGGCAGTAAAGAAAAGAAAATGCCGATCATGTGGCTTATAATTAGATCCAGATGTTGTCAAAGTGATGACATAGTGCTGTGATTTCCACAGGAAGACAGACTAAACAAGAAAAGTAGCTTTAACCCGGTGAACGCCAGAAGAGTGAGCCAAAATTTTTATCACACCCTCTGGCACTTAATAGAATGTAGAATTGGTTGATGGTTTAGATTATTTTATATATGTTAACCGAAAACATTAGCAACTACACTTCTGGTAATATCCACATGTCAAAAATGTATTCCCTCCACAAAATCAACCCCTGTTTAATGGCACATTTAAATACTTTATAAGAAATTCAATAGAATGAAATTAGTTTATTGCAAGTAGAGGATCATGCAATATCCTTTATTTGAAAAGCTATGTTGTTGCTCATTACACTGTGTTGTGACAGGTAATACTGTTAGCTATACCATAAGGTTTTGTATTTTCTATATAAATAATGCTTAGAAAACAGATCCTAGTTTGATCTTTTTATACTAATTGTTTTAGAGTGGTCTAGTTGGCACTCGATTTAGATACATGTATCAAGTAACTGTCTCATATAAATTAAAATAGAATGAAGAATAATTTTTTTTATAATTTTTCCAAGGTTTTCCTACATTAAATCATGAATAGCTAACCATAAATCGCCTGGTTGGTTTGTTTTTCAGTGTAATACGTGAACATAGGATTTTGTAGACATTTAAAACCCCTTCAATCTGTGATCTTGTGGTTACTATGATGCCTCCTGAGATCTTCAATGTCATGAATACACGCATACTCTCTCTCTCTGGATCTCTCTTGGAAGGAAAAAATAAAATAACTATAGCTGCCAGAGGTGAGACACATTTACAATAAGAAATTGTATCAAATAAAACAAACAAGCAAACAGTCTTCTCGTCTCCTACACCATGTGGTCTTTGTTGGGTAGAAAATCACTACAAACAATGTACTAACCAGATTTCAACATTTAAGCATGGGATTTCTAATCTTCTTGTCCATAAAAATGGAAGTATTCAGAATCGGGACAGCATATAGTCTCTAGTTACTGTACTTTTATAATTAATGTTTTCTTCATGGTCACTATTTAGATATAATGATATCCATATAACTGTATAGTTATACAATCTCCTCTTTTTTAGTGACTTTTAACCCCTTAAGGACCCCTGACTGTTCAGGGCCGTCATCGGAAAAACCCCTTGAGGACCGATGACAGTCCTGAACTGTCATAACGGTGATATTTACTTACCCAATCGCTGCCGTTCCCCTGCTGACAATCAGCGTTGCTCCCGGTCTGGGGGGACTTTTATTCAACTTTTATTCACCAAGTTTGCAAATATGCTAAGACTGTCTGTAGTGCAGGGAGTGTCTTGTCATCTTCCTCTCCCTCACAATTGTAAGTAGTCAAACTGTTTTAATGGTTTGACTTCTTACCAGGGGTCTGTTAACTCCTCCACTATCTCAGATAAAGAGCTTCCTCCTCCTTGTCTGAGCTAAACCAGCGGTGCAGAGCCTGGCTCATTGGATCAAGTGCAATCTGCGGATGCTCAAAGCCAATAAGGTAGCCTTGCACTGCAAGACATAGCTCAGAAGAGCTAATGGAAGCTCCTACACAGAAGTAGCAGAAGTGGGTGCCTGATCGAGGTCAGAAAATTTAGAAAATTGTGCATACTAGATGGTTCGAATGGTTCTTATCTGCTGTCACATTCCATGTTCTATGTTTCTATGTTAAGAAGTAAAACCATTCTGAAACTGTTAGACTATTTGCAATGGGTGATATAATGGCCCTCCTGACACCATACATATTACAACATGTAGTAGTGGTTATGGTGCTTCGAGTGTTCCTTGAATTTGCATTTATCTTTGGACACAAAAAATGTCCATGAGTGGTGGGGTTGCCGAATCCAGAAGCCTGCTCAAAACATCAAACACAAACAAGGCAGAAAAGGTATAGACCACTCTGAACATGTAGGATTTAAATTCAGGTCAACATGTTATGCATTTTACAAAAAAAGGAATCACTGCACGTCCACATTACAAGAGCTATATACCTTATACTATTACATAAACACACTTCTTTCTAATATAAATTATGGAGACTAAAACACACCGCCGAGTTTGTGTTGCTTCAGTATGATATGTCAGTACAGTATGACCATAAAAAGGGGGAAACAAAGATGCAACTCCCAGTGCCAGCTTGAAGAGGTAATGACTACTTTGACAGTTTGAGAAGGAGACATGTTAAATGGAATAGGTGAGATGTGGTATAATTAATGGTAGAGGGATGTAGACAGGATAGGAATTTGGTCCCTGTGAAAAAGAATTTATACAAACTGACACTTGATCTGTACAAGAAATTGTCATCAATGATCTACAATGTTATTGAAATCATTGTGTCATACACAGTGGTGTATCTTGGTTTTGCGCTGCCCCAGGCATGACAAAATTTCTCAAAATGAGCTGCTCTTGTAACCATGTAATTCTGATTTTCTAGACTTGAGGATGTGTTGTGTACTAGTGCCAAAGACCTTTTCTTTCCAGTTCTGTTATGGGTTATTTAAAGCAGAACAGGGCCAACTGTTTGGATGCGAGCATCGTTTTAATGTCTAATGGTTCCTAAGACCAATTATGAAGAAATATACACTAACACATAGTTTACTACAATAATATGAACACCATTTTTCAGTTTAATTTACAATTCATATAGCTATTGTATACACTTTCACAAAAACCACTTAGGTTGCAGTGGTTTCATTTTTTTCTCCGTGTAAAATATGGCAATGTAAATTAATTAATCGAATTAGAATTCTGCTATAGAAGACAGAGCAAGCATTAAAATAATAGAACACGTTCACTGAAGTTTAAACAGATTAAGAAAACATGCAGTGTAGACACATGGGTAATTTATTAAGCCCCAAATCTGTCTTTATATTGTAGGAGTAGATAAATCTCCAAATTTAATTTGCAATGCAGGTCTGGCCTGCAAGCACATCTTTTTGTCCTATTCCTAGGAAGATCTGAGAAAAAGCACTAAAACACATATCATCTTTATCTGTACCTTTTTTCTATTCTTCCGATACATGCTATAAGTCAGGTAAATGGAATTAAATCTTTTGAGGATGAGATAGTGGAAAGAATATGGCAATCACAGGCATTTGTCTTCAACAGTATATGTTGACCACTGCTTAGCTTTCTATTCATTTTTAGAATATCTATTTATTCAAAGGAACATGCCATTTCAAATATTTCAACCAAGTTTCCTTGTGAAGAAAGAATCTTCTAATATATACTAATATAGGAATATAATGTTAAATAAATCTATAATCTTTATTAAAGTTTTTTATGACTATGTTACAATTTCTTTGAAATTCCACTGAAATGAAAAGATATACATAAGACAAATTAATGACTACTTAGTCTCATGTAATTGCTCGACGAGTTTGGTAAAAGGTGTTTTTGGCACAATATTTTGTCAGCTTGTCAGCCGTGATGGCTTATGGCAACAGGCATCATCACACAAAATACACAATTTGTCTCTAGCACCTTATTTTGCACGCAGAAGATTATATATGGAAGATCCCACAGTCTTGATAGACTCTGTTTTGTGCAAAAGTGATGATGGCTCCTGGTAGGTGAAGTTGGAATGAGGTTTGTAGGAACCAGATTATGGCGTTAGCAATGTGTATCATTTGATCCCTGAGAGATTGAAATCTAATTTTGTGGCAAATTTTATTGTCACTACTCACTAGACAAGCAAGTCTTATTCTATTCTGCTCTGTGTTTTTTGAGGGAAGTGTGCTTAATTGGAAAATCACTGTTCTATGTTTTAAATGTTGCTTGTTCTGATTAGATTTTGTTCTGTTTGTTGATACATCTGTGACCAACAGGTGCAACTAAATGTACCACGTGCGTCTCTTTCACTCGATAACAGGCAGATCCAGATCTAATGCAAAATATTGTATTAATATTAACTAACAAACGATTGTTATTGATATTTTTATTCTGTTATGTGTTTATTCCTGCCTTTAATTGAGAGATATTGTTTCTTATATCTAAAAATGCATCAAAGCTGTGCATCATGTCTCTGCCTTCTATACATTATACTAATACAACAAATACACATATTGGACTGTGGTCTATGGAAATCTTTACAATTAACTTTGGTCATTCAGATATTGCTCAAATGTAGTAAATTTAGTTTTTTTATTTCAAGTGATTTTGGGGATTAATCACATCAACAATATAGTCATCAATTTCTAGAAGTATTTCTAATAAAATAGTAACAAGAGTAGTTTGCTCTGCAATTGAGTCAAACATTTCAAGGGTTTGCACTAATTTAAAGCTCACAAAAAAATTCTAAACCCTCAACTAGAGGAGACCCCTCCCAAAAAGTCTAAACCCTCTACTAGAAAAAACCCTCTCCAGTAAATATGAAACCCTGTACTAGAGGAGACCCTCTCCAGAAAATTCTAAACCCTCTACTAGAGGAAACCCTCTCCAGAAAATTGTTTAAAAAACATTGTCCAAGTTGTCTTTAGAAGAAGAAAAAAAACCTACTGGTTTAATGGTTGTCATTGGCAGCATAAAGTGTATTATTTTTGTACTGAAGAACTATTACTCCTTTATTTTCCGAGACATCTATTATATTTATTCCTGGAAAGGCAATTTTTAGATGATCCATTCAGAGGACAAATTTTTTGTTCTTTCTCAGACAGCGGGGTTGTCAATAAAAGAATCACTTTTTTTCTTGTGAGAGACTATTTTGTGCATGTTATATAGATTAATAAAGAGTGCCTGGATATAGGCCATCATTGTCTCTTTTATTCTCCATTCATTCCCATGATAAAGCTATCCATCAACTGGTAAGCTAGAATAATTCTTCTTATAAATGGAATTTTGTCTATTGACTTCATTCGTTTATTTATCTTGTTTTCGATCTATAAACACTTCTTATTTTATATGCCTTATTATACTCTAGTAAAGAATAGTCCTATACAGAGGTTTTTTTATTTTATCTATAAAGATGGTCTAGACCAGGCATAGCCATCCTTCGACACTCCAGATGTTTTGGAATACACCTCCCATGATGCTTTGCCAGCATTACAGGTGTAAGAGCATTATGGGGGATGTAGTCCACAACATCTGGAGTGTCAAAGGTTGCCTATCCCTGGTCTAGATGTTAGAATGCAGACTCTGTATTTTAAGTGTGGCAACAAACATTTGCAATGCCCCATCATATCTCCTCCAGCCATACCTTCTCATGCATTTCCATTTCATACATACCTTTTACTTCGGGATGCTTGCTCCATGCTGCTCTGGTGGATTATGTAGTAGATGTACCATTTCCTGGTTTACACAGCTCAGTGAGAAGAACTGCATATACCCTCTCACAAGCTAGTCTAGCAGAGTTATTTATGCACGTGAGAATACAAAGTGAATTTTAAATGTAATGCCAGAGTAGCTGAACTGAAAGCATAGCTGTATTTTTCCAATTCTGCTATTTTTTACCAAAAAATGTAAATACACCTTGATTTCTCACTATAGTGAATAGCTCTGTAGATCAATAAGAGATACGGATAAGGAATTGAGATGTATCTTGTAGCCCCACTTATCCTGCCATAATGATGGGCCTGCTGAAAACCTGGCATCAACCCCTCTGTTTCTGTGAGCCCAACTCATCTGATTACAATTACGTGTTTGTTAGTCCACCCATTGTACAGCGCTATGGAATTTGTTGGCGCTATATAAATAATAATAATATGTTATTTAGGTATAGGAGAATGCAAAAACAAACAAAACGCTTTGTACTATATCTCAGACCCATCTCAAGCAATTTCAAATCTATATGTGAAGGAGGCAGTAGATGTGACATATGGCATATATGAGCTTCAGTTACTAACAAATGAAGATTTGGAGAACTGACATAAACTTTGCATGTTTTAGTCCACACTAGCCAAAAATACAAAACCAAAAATAATAACTTATTTGGAGAATGTATCCATCTCAGCTACTGTGGCCTTAAATGCTTAATGCCACACTTCATAGTTTAGAAAAGAAACAAAACAATTCTGTTGGTTTTGATTGTTCCTCATTTAGCACAATGACTCTGAATCGCTTTAGTGCTGATAATAATAAAAATGGATATTTGTGAATTAATTAAATACAAAATTTTAAAAAAAAAGATTATTAACTCATCATAAGCAAAATGAATACTAAGTCTTTCAGTGCTTTTCTGTAAAGTGTTAAATTCCTCTGGAATGGATTATGCTTGCATTCGCAGAAAAAAGTACTTGAATCTTTTTCCCACTAATATTTTTTTTCCACAATAACTAGCAGATGTGGTTGGTCACGTGCACCAGTTACCATGGCAACCAAAAAGATCTCATTATTCAACTAGGCCTAACTCACTGGCCTCCATACAGGCCTGTGGAAGAGCCTATTTTTATGTGAGAACTGGCATTGCCTCTAAACCTGCAGAGTAATATGATGTTTAACTTGGAAACAAGCTAGCGGTGATTGTTTCACGTTAACTCCCCCATTCCCTTACAATATGGCAACTTTTCAAAAGAATAAAACACATGTCCAACTCTATGACACAAACATGGCCTTTTCCCAGTGACTTCTGCGAAATAGGTCTTTGACGAACAGGATTACCTTGGTTTAAACTGCAGTTAAATATAAAAACATAACTCTTTAAAAGGGAAAATGCGGTTAGGGTGTATTGACACGTCCTAACATTGTGGTGTGAAAAGGGTTAACGCTCTGCTCACATCAGGGAGTCCCAGGTATTATTCGATACCTGTAACTCCCTTCTGTTAGCTGGAGACAATTGTTAGAAGTTGTCTGCAGTGCTCAAACTGAGCTGTGCATGCAGCTGTCAAAATAGGTATTTAAATGTCTATTGCTCCAATGCGGTGTGAGCAGGGTATATGTTTAGTGTAAGCATAGGATAAGTGGTGTTGTTGGTCTAGCATGGGGGGTTAGTATAGGGTTAGTGGTAACAGCTACAAATTAATTTACATCCAAGACATACTAGGCATGACTGATGAGTGAATCTATTTTGATTAATTTTTATTAGTTGCACGTGATGTGTAAAAAACATTTTGAGCAACAATGTGAAAAAATTTGTTTTGGCCATTTTTTACATTTTATTTACACTTAAGGTTATGTTAGGTTAACATATGAGATATTAAAATAAAGCCCTTTCTGACCTTTAAAAGATATTTAATATCATGGCCTGCACGTCCTGTAGGCCAACTAGGCGGATGCCTATGGTGCTGCTTAAAGGGAGGAACTGGCAGGAGCTTTACTGCTCTGCTCGTTTGGACGGCCCCTATGTTGGAGAAATAATACAAAGCATGCCGCCGGCCATGTTACCGGGTGCTAGAGAGCACTTACATGTCTGCTGACTAGCGCCCGGTGTAACACTTGTCCGGCGGCATCCACTTCAGCCTGTTCAGCCAGGCCCCCCACAAGCACTCCCACTGCCATAACAGTGTGAGGGTGCATCAATTTCTCACTCTTGACCCTTGCCCTGTACGTGGGGACAAGTGGGTGTGAGCATAGCAGGGCTCAGATGGAGAGAAGGTGGCCAGGCGCTGGGAAGCTGCCAGGAACACATGAAAAGCAGTCAAATATGAAGAAAGGTAAGTGGGTCAATGGGACGTCACAATGTGTATATGTGAAGAATCTGGGTTTGTGTATGTCAGTTTGTATGGGTCAGTGTTTGTCTGTATGGGTCAGTGTTTGTCTGCATGAGTCAGTGTGTGTCTGTATGTGTGTCTGCATGAGTCAGTGTGTGTCTGTATGTGTGTCTGCATGGGTCAGTGTGTGTGTGTGTGTGCGCGTCAGTCTGCATTAATCAGTCTGTGAGTGGCAGTGAGTGTGCGTCAGTCTGCATGGGTCAGTGAATGTGCTTCAGTCTGCTTGGGACTGCATGAGTGGGTGGAGCAAATGGGGTGACAAATTTATTTTTTTGCCTAGGGTGGCAAAAATCCTTTTCAATGAGAAAAATGCCCTATTTAAATGATTTAAGAATAAAGAAGGCTGGTAGTGACTGAAGCATAGGGATGGGAGTGAAGGCATCTAAATATACATTTATAGCCTTAATTAGAGGGACACTGTAAGCACCAAAATAACTCTAGCTTAATTAAGTGGTTTCAGTGTCATTGATGAATTATCTTCCTGGCTGAGACTAACACAGCCTCCACACACACTTCCTGAAAAAGAATCTATACTGTTTAGGTTATTTTTATTACACAATGTGTTTTACTTTGGAATGAATTAATGTTAAAGTTATTACCTCCTGCTCTGTTAATTACCTGCTAGAGCCTGCAGCAATCTCCTGTGTGGGAAGTTCAAGTAACAGAGCAGGAGATAAGAAATTGTAACATATTATCTGGCTTAATCCACAAGGAGCACAGTTAACAAGCAGCAATCTTCCCTGCAGGTCAGGCCAGAAAACACTTAAAAACCAGAGCAATCAATCTATTTGGCTTTAATCTGCTGTTGGAACATTTATTGTTCATGCAGAAATAAAAAAATCTAAAAAATATTGAAAAACCAGAGAAGCAGAGTTACCACGCAGGTCCAAATTTGAGGAGGAGGAGATTTTGAACGCTTACTTCAGCATGGCTACTGAAGCTATTCAAAATAAAAAAAGAAAGACTGAATTTACTCCAACTTTGATAGAGCAAATGCTAAACTTTCTCAGTGAATCATTGACGTCTGACATCCATCAAGAAATTGCAGTCATTCATGAAAATTTTTCAAATTTGATAAAAGAACAGCATAACTGAGCAAATTCCGAACGAGCAAACCAAAGTGCATAATGAAATGGTGGCTAAAGTATACGCTATAGAGGAAAAGCTTAATAAACTTGTTTTACATATTCTTTAGAACAAATACATAACCCTAAACTATAATGCAAAACTATGTACTATACCAAGAAAAAGTGATACTATTGTTATTCAATATTAATTTCACATATAAGAATTGTTGTGACCTACTTCATGTTTTGATGTCTCTTATCAATCCAGTCAAGAAAAATGCAGTGAATAACACATGGCCTAATATTAGTCTCCTGACCACCTCAAAGGAGGATTTCCAGACTCAGCTGAGGAAGGTCAGA